GGCTTACTAATGCCACGATTCGACTAACACCTGAGACGTGTACACTCTACATCGTTGCCAGTTGCTGTGAGTGACAACTCTAAGGAAAAGCTGACCAGAAACGCTAGGAAGCGACTTTTTTTCGTGATTTAGCGACATGTCAGATTATCTAGTTTTGGTTTTCTGCAACTATTATTCGTAATAGGTAGATACTCAAGATTAATTCGTGGCTACCACACAATTTTATTGGTTGTTTGTCCTAGTTATATTTCAGGATGCTCCATGATTTCGAGTGTGGTGATTATATTTGTTGATCTGTTCCACTAAACTTCTTCTCATTACCTCCCTAATTGCGTAACAATAGTAAACAGTTTTATCAATTTCTTTTAACTACCACTTTATATTGAGTCTACCGCTCATCTCATTCTTGATCTGGCAACACTGGCGGAGACGTACAATAGCCCTCTTGCTATATTGCCATTTACGTGGCCTATGTGTGACGATCGGATAATAATCTGTATAAATCACCCTGTTTATTCTAAAAAAAATAGGCCCACTATCTGAGGCGACTCACTTGAGAGTCTTCTCTGTACTTACTGATTCATCGATCGAGTTGATTTCTACTGGTTTCGAGTGGTAATTACGTGGAAAAAATCCTATTGTATGGACCGCTTGCTGTCGAGCTGCAATCAAACTTGTTGAAATAAGAAAATGGGTTCCTTTGAATCCTCCGCATTCGCTGTGGCCAATTATCGGAAAAATACAGAAAACTGTTTGCTGACTACAAGTTGAGTTTTTGCTTATTTCTGTGCGAGATCAGCCATCAGTGAAGGTGAGAAGCTGGGTTTGAACAGACATATAGACAGTTCCACGAAAAAAGTTCATGAAGATACAGTTAAGAAAACCTCTTCTTTTTCTTCGTGGGCCTACTATACAAAGGTCTTCTCTAAGTAACTCTTTCATGATCGCATCAGGGTTTTCGACACAAAAAAATCCTAAAGCTGAAAAATCTCGATTTTGAACGTCCTATATCTCTGTAATGATTCCCGCTAGACCCTAAGTGTGATGTATTGATGAAATCAGCTCTTCAGGCAGAACCTAAGAATGCAATAATATATAGGATGTCCCTTCAAAAAAAATCATCATCAGCCGATATCTTGGAATTTTGAACACCCTATAGATATAAAAATAATTCAAGATGATAGTTTTCATGAAACTCTATAACTGTTGTATCTGCATTTTTTCTATATATCTGACGGTTTGGCCTATATCGAAGGAGAACACACTACTGACTCACCCTGTATAAACTAAACTAAAACTGTTTTAGTCTGATGACATCAATCGACAGCAAATATAAAAGTATACTCCTGTTTAGAAAAATTTGACTGGGTTACCATGGTAACGTTGATTCTATCATTGATATTCCTCAGTGCAGCCATGATGTTTTTCTATCGTTCTTTGGAGGTGCAGAGGTATTCACAATGAAAAATCAAATATACCGGTCGTGCACTAAACGTAACTTACTTTCATGGACCTCAGCGTGTTAATAGCCCTCGCTACCATAAAAGCCTACTTTACGCCCTTGATTCAAAAATAACTATTATATTTCTTAGATGAGTTCATTCACGTTATAATATTAGTTAGTCCAGAATTATATTTCTGCCGCGTAAATACTCGATGAAGATAAACTAAAACTGTTTTAGTCTGATGACATTAATTGACAGCAAATATAAAAGTATACTCCTGTTTAAAGAAAAATTTGACTGGGTTACCATGGTAACGTTGATTATTGATATTCCTCAGTGCAGCCATGATGTTTTTCTATCGTTCTTTGGAGGTAAAGAGGTATTCACAATGAAAAATCAAATATACCGGTCGTGCACTAAACGTAACTTGCTTTCATGGACCTCAGCGTGATAATAGCCCTCGCTACCATGAAAGCCTACTTTACGCCCTTGATTCAGAAATAACTATTATATTTCTAAGATGAGTTCATTCACGTAATGCTATTAGTTAGTCGAGAATCATATTTCTGCCGCGTAAATATTAGTTCATATATTCTCTAATGTTCACTGTCCTATTTTGAAATAATGACCTTCTACTTCATGAGTTCATTAGTTTCCGTAATGATATTGGTTAAGTCTCTGCGTTCATCACAATAGGCTCTTGATTTTCTCACCAATAATCTTTATTGCGATGAAAGTGTTAGATATCAACTAGAAATCTTCTTTCAATAGAACTACAAGAAATACATAAGTTTGCAGATAGGATCAAATCGGCAATATTTCTTCGGAATGTCTGGAAGGAATCTGGAAGCCCCTGGGAAACCAGGAAAGCGTTTGCCTTCGTGCTTATGGTCCATATCTTTTGGTGTCATTATTCTTATGATGAATTGGAATTGTGGCTCTGTATGAGAGAACGCTTCGCGAAATATGGGGGCGGAAGCTGTGACTCTGAATAGAAAAGCTGGAAAAATTTTCTGGAGCTCTTCCACATATGATAATATGATATATGTATATTCACATGCATGCGAAATAAAATAAATGTCAAAATATCGCAGGTAGGTATGTATCTCATCACGCTGATTGGCATCGTTTCAATCATATAATATTTCTGTGAACTATATTATCGAAATGCATATGGTTGACATATTTTCCTCTAGGTGATATAATTTCATTCAGAATGTGAATAAATTGACCATATCGGAATGTATCGAATATAAATGCCAGTTTCCAGTGATAGTTTTTATGTGATACTTGCATAGATGAAAAATGATGGTATACATGTGACTGTTGCTATCAGGGTCCTACTACAAAAATGATACTAGAAAAAAACCTACTTCAGATGATTCAGCGCCAATGCATCATCTTCTGATGTTTTATTGAGTTATCCACCTCTAGGAACAATTCATGCCAGACATATTATTGCGATTTAGTCCCAAAACATATTCATTCCAAGTTCGGTTGTTATAATGTGTGAACCAATGCACACTAGACACGACTATTATTTACACCCTATATCATGACTCATTTCTGATTGAATATTGGTTGAAGTTGAAGGAAATCGAATCTATAGCGTTTTGAAATAAGCATATAATTATTCAATTCGATATTCCAAAAAGCCAGATAATATGAAGGTGGAGCCGTGACGTTTTAGACCCAAACTGAAGTTAGTAATAAAAAATATAAAAAACAAAAATTCTGCTGGTGAAGACAACCTATTAGCAAAGTTGTTTTTACAATTGCCTGATGAAGCTCTTCGAGCTTTTGTAATAGGTATAAACTCGTCATTAACTACTGGTGTCTTTCCTTCTAGTTTGAAATCGGCAAAGGTGATACCGCTTAACAAAGGAGGTGCCATTGATGACCCTAGTAATTTCAGACCGATCTCAATTTTATCAACGTTATCAAAAATCATTGAAAAACTAGTCAAACGTAGGATAGTGGGTTTCTTGGACAAACATAAAATTTTAGCTCCCGTACAGTTTGGTTTCCGACACAAAAAAAATACTACTGACGCCATCTTTCATTTCCTTGAAAACGTCTACACAACCCTGAATGATAAGGAAGTGGCTGCGGCAGTATTTCTGGACCTTTCTAAGGCGTTTGACTGCGTGGGACATGCAATCCTGCTGCTAAAACTCTTCCATTATGGATTCCGGGGAACAGTCTCAGAATGGGTCAGATCTTATCTTACTGGTAGGAGTCAAAAAAAATATTGAGCAACAACACTTCTGATGGCAGAGAAATTGTACGTGGAGTTCCTCAGGGGTCAGTCCTAGGCCCAATTTTATTCTTGCTATATATAAACGATATGGCAAAACTTGACATATCTGGAGCATTTACCTTGTTTGCGGATGACACCACGGTACTTTGGCGTGATAAAGATCCTGATACTTTGACTCGATCTATCCAATCTGATTCAGAAGAATTTGAAAAATGGTGTGAATTGGATATGTTATCGCTAAATGTTTCCAAAACAAATCTGATGACATTTAAGTGAGACTTAGAACAAGTAATACTAGGTGAACGCATGATTGAAAGTAAGCCTGTTACTAAATTCCTTGGTATATTCATTGATGGTAATCTGAAATTTGGTTCGCAAATTACTGCTTTGAAACAGAAATTGGTTGGTTTGCCATAAATGTCATCTCTCATGAACTAGGATTTTCAGCAGCAATAACTGCATACTATTTATTTATGGAGAGTCCTTTCCGGTATGGAATTCCTTTCTGGGGCTCAGGCAGCTAGACCTCGATGCAAAGTAAATTCGTTATCTAATTTTCTGCAGAAACAAAATATCAAAAATTTTTGAACTAATCATTTTAGAGACTGTCTGCTCACTTCAGAAACATAAGGAAAAATTGGTAAACCATTCAGAAAGGCATACGCGCAGCGACAAAAAACTTGCTCTCCCACTGCCCATATCATCTTTGACCAGGCAGTCTCAAATCTATAGAAGTAGACAAATATATAATCATCTACCGAAACATATTGCATCAATTACTGAACTCAAACAATTTAGAAAATCAGTAAAAAACCTTGTTATGGGAAGGAGCTGTACACTTTTCTTATCTTTCATGTTTTTTTTTTTTCGTTTTTAATCCCAACTGTATTCTTGTAAATGCTTTACAATCTAAACATTCTATGTATTTATAAACATGACACCCTTTGTCGACAAAATGTACTATATTTTAGACAATAAAGATCTAGATCTATATCTCTCTGATACCCTGCCATTCTGCAGTGTTGCAGTGTGATTTGTCAGCTCACGGACAATACCTCACACCAGGCACACCAATGAATTGACACAATTCCAAATGGTACTTTGAAATGAACATATTATAATTCATTTTTTCATCGTCCTATAGTATGAATGAAAAAATTCGTTTCAAGCAATCATTGGTCTCTCCCATTAGAATATTCTTCAGAAAACTGTATTTCCCAAGCCACTGAATCGACTTGAAAGACAGCTACATCTATCTGTCACTCGTCGATTATCTAATTTTTTCCTTTGGTTCCAGATATCGGACGATGATCGGATGTCCTTGACGACCGCTGTGTCTGATGAGGACGATGGCGAGAGCGTTATGAACTCGCCTTACAAGGCCAAACAGACTGGAACAGCTGCAGCAAGTTTCAACTGCACTGGAGCGGTGAGAAAAGCCGGGTAAGTGTATTATCGAACATTTGTGGGTCACCTTTTTTTTCATCGAGGTGATTGAAATCCTTCAGGGACACCATATGGGTCCAATCCCCCATATGATAGTGTGGGAGTTCCCTGACTCCAGGTATACCCACTAAACACTCCACCCCGTTTGTAGGCTCGTCTGACCGAAGTCTCCGACGAAACTTAGGCCTAGTGGCCCATTGTATCTTACCTACATGCCGTTATCAATTTTACCATATACGACTCATGGTGCTTATTAAGGGCCACTTCAATATGAAAGACCCTTTTCGTTCAGGTTCCTGAAGATTATTCTCCCGATCCCTGTTCTCGTCTATGAAGAAGGCCAAAAGTTATCCTTCTCCTACGAGTGACGGGGGAATGGGTTGGTCCAGCCCTGTGATGCCCCCTGCACACACTGCCACACTTATTATTCGCATCGAATGAAAATAACTCTTAATCCTTCACACAACATGGAGGCGGAATATGTACTCAACCGTTGCTGCGCCTTGCCTCTCATTTTTTTATTGTCGTCAATCATCTCAAAGCACAATCTAGGGGACAACATCATTAGATCATTGATGAATTGAAGGGCTTATTGTGAAACGATGACATGCCTCTGAAAGGTGAAAATGAGATATTTGACTTTGAATATCAAAATGATATATAAAATCTAGTTACAACTTGAATGGTTTCAGTTCATGCCCTATGCGACTATAGTTAGCAAGAATATTGATAAAATTACTTCAAACTTGAGAAAAAACAGGCTTTATTTAAAGAAAGTTTGGCTTGTTACATTGTTGCCCTAAATTTCGTAGTAATTTTCTATTCGATCCCAAACAACACTATCAATTTCTATGTCTCCATCGACTTGTTGACATTTCTTTGGATGTGTTTGTTTTTTTCTCTTTTCTTATACATCCACTCACAACAAAATTCGATAATATAACAAACCACGTGACATACTACTACAATAATACTTCATAATGCTTCATTTCAGAATCATGATAATGTGACAAGCCACATTTGGGAAAAAATACATACCGCTGTATTTTCATCACTTGAGTGACTTCTATATTGTTCAAAGTTAGTGTCATGGTCACTGTCATTGAATGTCGACTCAACCTCACTGTTTTTTCTGCTAGAATCGTCAGAATTCACAGCATTATCGGAACAGCTTCCGCTCGTGTCGGCCATTTTGTTTGGCTTGTCATTATGTCGGGTATAGTAACTAGAGGAAATAATAGACACATGCAATAGTGTGACTATAGTTTTTTCGCGCCATTCATCAACGAAGGCTCTCAATAATTTTGTAGAGGCTTGTTATACTATTGCTCCAACCAAGAAGAGCATCAACTCATTTTGGACTCTTGTGTGGCTTGTCATTGTTTCACAATAAGCCCTTCAATTATAAGCAAAGCGGATAGCGGAATCGCCCGTCTTACCTCTAGTCGGCTATTATTAGTGTTCGTAAATGCTTAACCCTCCACTGCCACCACCAATGAGTCGACAGGTTAACGTAATGTCACAGATAATTACGAACCAATAGCCAATGATAGCGTTCTCAACCGCCTGTTGCTATGGTAACGGGGAGATACAGTGGCGTCACAAAGCGTTCAGTTCCTTTCCAACAAAACTTGAGATTATGTTGTGAATGTAACAATCATTATATTCACAACAGTCGTAAATTGCGTCGTAAATGTATAAGTTGTGATGACCGCAAACTTGATTCTGGCCGATATTCAACTACCTATTTTCTCATATGTCCCCGGTGTTTTTTCGCGATACGGTCTATACATGTAGTATGTAATATGATGTCAATGGCTCGAATGAATCGATCAGCTGACAGCCGAGTTGTGATAACCTCGGAGGAAACACATGACAAAAATATTTGATTTATCTCCTGGAAACGACTTCATGGTATAGAAACAGGAAGATGAGGATATGGCATACATTGAGGCTCAGCGAACAAATGGCTCCAGACTGAGTATGACGAATAAAAATAAAACGTCAGATAGCGCGCCATCAGGCGTCTCTACTAAACGAGAATAAGCCGCCCTTGATACGTGAACGTGCCCTCAGGGCACTAATACATTCCGGGGTTGGCAGCTTGATTAAGTTTATCGAGTTTTGGGCAGAGATTCACGGCATTTCCGTACGTGGTAATAAACGGATCATTTATTTATTTTTTTCCACGACAATTACCAAAATACTCAGTAGGCCGGAAACTAATCAGCAGATATATTGTGCATGACTGCCTGAAAGCAATATCTCAATCAACGCTAAAAGTATGCTCCCTATCAAAACATATGTCCTTGTATTTATATTTTTGGGAATGGATAATATCATTAGCCAATGGCAAATTTAAGCAGAATGTTGTGAATTATGGATAGCAGCCTCAGAATACGCCGATCAAAATCGGATAATCGTTTTGGAGAACGTACAATAAGTCTCAGAGTCTGATCTGATTTCGTCTTTCAAAACTGTGATTATGATGCACTTTTGTGAAAAAATACATAGTAACATCTCGAACAAAATCGTGCGTAGGGAGAGGAGGTAGGTATTGGCAACTTTTTTTTTGAACTCTTAGAGGGAGATTACCTCTTGGGAATACTTCCATTGTGGCAAAGAATTCCAAAGCTTTGTCGTTCTATAGATAAACGAATTTTGATAAAGTGTTGTTCAATATATTTCAATGTTGATGACAGCGAAAAGATATGCTGACCGGGCTTGTCGAGTTCGTCTGACTAGTATGCTGGTAATGGAATTATAGAAGAGATTTCTGAAGAATATTTCCCGTGCAAGTATCTATATAAAAGTGATAGGTCGCCTGCTTCTCAACGGTGTTCCAATGATGTCGATCATCAGATGAATGGCTCTTCTCTGGATGGAACCCAATCCAAGAGCATCAGCGAATGTTCGGGTGCTGAACCCAATACTTCGATACAGACGTTATAGTATCTGCTTAGCGTTACAGAATAAGTGGTGATGATTTTCTACATTTGCGAATTGAGCATCTCTATTGATTTATTCAAATGAAACGTTTTGTTTTTTCAAATTTCAATACCCTGTATCTCGAGAAGGGTTCAGTTCAGAGAGTACGTTGATGGACACTTTTTCCATATTCTTGTACAAGCTATCGCATCCTGAAGTCCTGCGCATTTATTATTTATTGCCCTGTTCAAAATAATTATTTCTCTCAAATATTTTTGCGGTACATTATACCCCATTTTACTCATAACTCGCGGCGAGTAATATTCTATCAAATAATTATAACAATATTCCCAGCTTTGTTCGCAAATATGATTGCATCGTTGAACCGTTAATTCAATTCCGGTTGAACACTCCAAACATCTGCATAAACCTATCACTTTTATGTATTTTTTCAGCTCGTTCATTGTCGTTATTAGGCAGAATCAAATCCGTACGAACGGGTTAACAATGAAATTGCGCTTGTTGTTTTACCACCCTACAGGAAATAACAATCAGCAGGAAAACATTTTATGAACGATTATTAGATTTTGGTTCGTGAAAGTGGATTTAAAAAGCATCAGAGATTTTTCAACCTACAGCTCACACCTCCTTTCAGGAGAAAATCCAACCAATGCACTCCTCAGAGATTCTTGTCCATTGATGAAATGAGAAAAATAACCTACTAAGTCTTTTTTGAGAACTCGAACTTGAAATCTTTCGATGTCCACACTCAACAGTAAACATTGTCAAATTTGACATTTCACATTTTGTGACAAATAAGTGACATGAAACAATAAATTTGGCCACAAAAATTATACACTGTTGCCAAGTGTAAGAGCTCCTTTTAGAAGAATTACTCAAGGGAGGTCTATAAAACAAGTTCAACGTTAAGTACTGAGGAGTCCTCAAGGAACCCTCAGATAAGGAAGACTTGAGGAGTTCTTGAGGAAATGACTATAAATACGGGCCTAAAGAAATACATTTCACAAGTCGAAGTTGCTGGCAATGCAATGACGCGAAATACTTCAGGAATAGTTGTGTGTACCGGTTTTTCCATGACCTTCCCCACGAAATTCCAATAACTGTGCACCATTCAACTTATCCTCAATCCCACCGGACATTTTTCGACGTCGTTGGTTAATTTTCCCATCAAATATCGCTGTCCGCCAGACCAGATATCAATTTGTTGGCTTGTTACCTCCGATATTTCTCATTCCGCTCCCAATACGTTTCCAGAATTTTTCATTTTTCCCGTTCCGCTTACGAATTGCGCACACGTATTGAACACACGATAAGTTCTCTCTCAATCATTCAGAGTAAATGGCTTTTTCCCTGAGAATTAATCTTCTTTCTGAAGCTGTTGCTGTGCCAATGTGGCCAATGTAATGCAATTCAATATCATGACAATATTGTCAATATACCTATATCCTCAATTTTGAAACTTCACAAGTTCTATGTATCTCCATATCCTTCGTTTGGAGATCATGTTGAATAGATAAGAATAAGAATAAGAATAGGATAATATTGAAAAATATGGTAAAACCTCTGCCGTGGCACTTGATATCTCCAAAGCATTCGATCGAGTCTGGCACCACGGACTCCTCGCCAAGCTCCCATCTTATGGCTTGCCTCCCCAGCTATATGTTCTCTGCTAGCTAGTTTTCTCTCAAACTGGTCCCTCCATGTAGTGGTCGACGGAGTTTCATCTGACTCTATTTCCATAAATGCTGGTGTTCCGCAAGAATCAATTCTAGCACCAACACTATTTCTACTCCATATCAACGATTTGTTGGAAACAACTTCATGTCCAGTGCACAGCTTCGCGGATGATAGTACCCTCCATACCGCCTTCTCTTCCAGGGCTCCAATACCAGCCAGGCAAATCAGAAACGAACGAGGAAGAAATGTTGACAACATAAATATGGACTTGGCAACAATTCTCGAGTCGGGATCCGATAACTTGGAAGATTTCAATGCAAACAAATCACGAGCATGCCTTTTCTATAGAAAAGCCGATCTCACTGTGCCAA